CAGCCCAGCAGTACCAAGGTTTCTGTTGTGCGGCATCAGCTGCTGCAGCAGGGTCCTCTTGCTGCTGCAGTTGCTGCAGCAGCAGCAGCAGCTGCTGCTGCTGCTGCTGCAGCTGCTGCTGCTGGCCGGATTTCCTTGCGGAGGTGTTGGCAGCTGCAGCGCAGCAAAAGACCAACATAGAAGCTTCAAGCTGCAGCAGCAACACGTGCAGCAGCAGCAGCAGCAGCAGCAACAGCAACAGAAGCAGCAGCAGCAACAACAACCACCAGAACAGAAGGAAAAGGAGCAACAACAACAAAACCAGCAGCAGCAACAGCAGCAGCAACAGCAGCAGCGGCAGTGAAGCCAAAGCAGAAGCAGCAGCAGAAGCAGCAACAGCAGCAGCAGCAGTAGCAGCAGCAAGGCATACCAGCTGAGCTGGCAGCAGCAGCAGCAGCAGCAAGAGGAGTAGCGTGACGAAGGAAGATAGAAGGAGCAGTCATCAGCCCCAGCGCTAGCTGCAGCGACACTGCATGCTCAACAAACCCTGTTGTTGTTGCTGCTGCTGCTGCTGCTGTTGCTGCTGCTGCTGTTGTTGCTGCTGTTGTTGCTGCTGCTGCTGCTGCTGTTCTCTGAGCAGCAGCAAACTCCAGAAGGTCTACCAACGAAGACATTACGGCTTCCGCTTCTTGCGCCCCCAAAACGCTGCGCAGTTCCTGCTGCTGCTGCTGCTGCTGCTGCTGCTGTTGCTGCTGCTGCTGCTGCTGCTGCAGCGCATGCAGCGGGGGGAGGAGGTTCCGCGCCAGCTGCCAATAGACAGCCCAACCCATCGCCCACAAGGTTGTCGTTTGCTGCTCCTTGCTGCTGCTGCTGCTGCTGCTGCTGCTGCTGCTGTTGCTGCTGCTGCTGCTGTTGGTGGGGTCTGCAGCAGCAGCAAACTCAGCGCGACGATACAGCTGCTGCAGCATTTCAAGGGGAACCTGTCGAAGCAACAGCAGCAGCAGCAGCAGCAGCAGCAGCAACATAAATTCTCTGCTGCAGCAACAATATGACTACTGCACGGTAGCTGACCGTCTGCAGCAGCAGCAGCAGCAGCAGCAGCAGCAGCAGCAGCAACAGCAACCGCCCCGCTCAGCAGCAGCAGCAGCAGCAGCCGCAGCAGAAATGACAGCAGCAGAATGTATGGGAGTAGCAGACTCAAGGACCCCCCCAGACAGCAGCAGCAGCAGCAGCAGCAACAGCAACAGCAGCAGCAACACCACCATCAGCCACACCAACAGCAGCAGCACCAGCGGCAGCAGCAACAGCAGCAGCAGCAACAACAGCAGCAGCAGCAGCAACTGACAGGAGCAGCAGCAACAGCAACAGCACCAGCGGCAGCAGCAACA